CTGCAGGTAGTTATTAGGGACCTCACTGGCGGGGACAAAATTTCCGACTGGAGGGGCCAGTAACAGGGCTGGGGGGACTTGTCCCCCCCCAGTCTATATGTTAAAAGAGGCCCTGAATATACGGTGTTTTATTGGCGAATCCTCCATTATGCATGCATGATAATGACACATGTGCGATTATCATGTTTTGACTCACCAATCAAAAATCAGGATTAAGAGCCGTGGCGGGTAAAACTAGGTTCGTAGTATATAAGACAAACACAAAAATACACGAATGCTTGGAAATCGATGGAATTTATCCGTCTCGTGTTGAGAAAATATCTCTCTCATTCGCTGCGCTCACTCGTTCGATATCTTTCTCAACATTCGAAATAAATTTCATTTTTTTTTTTTTGCAGTCCGGTATCCATGCTTTTTAGGCAATCGAACTGCTTCGTTTGCGGTCCAGTTTTTCACGATACGGACCGCTCAACCGGACCGCTGCGGATTTTAAACTTAAAGTTAAAATATACTTTCTACTGTTTGAAATTAAGAAGCAAAAATATGTATAGCGATGACGAAAGCCACAGGAAAACAACGAAATTTGGAATGAAGGCGAGTTTTTTAACTCCAAAAACGATGGAAAAAACAACGGTTTAAAAGATAAACTGTAATATAAAAGATAAACTGTCAAAATAAAAGATAAACTGTCAGATAAAATTCGTTCTTCGAAAATTTGTGGTTGTCATTTTACCGGGAACTTCTTTCTTATATTTATTCAGTTTTATAGGCAAAACCTAACCCATTCCCATGATCCAACGCGAGCGACTGGGAACGAGTCAGGGCAAATTACATGTGTTCGCAATGGTCTAGCAAACAACGAATTCGATTAAATTTGCCCATTTCAGCGTTTTATCCCCATTTCAGCGTTTATCCCCATTTGGTTTTGGTATCCGGATCAGTATTTTCACTAGTACAATTTAATGCTCTGAGCGCTTCAACAGCAGTCTTAAAACTTCTCCATAGGGCTTCGAATGACTCGGGATGAACTGTCCATCGTGTTTTCGACAGATTCCTTAACTGTAGTGCATTTTCAACTTCTTTCAGTGAATCGGCCAGTTCACCACACACCTTTGAGTGCTTTGTACTTGCGTTGAAAAACACGTATATTGCTTCAAGAACTTCATGCATGCTTTTTATTTTATGAGAGCACTGGCTGGAATTACTGCTGTGTTCGCTGACTAAATTTGCCCCATGAGCAATACCTGGTACATAGATTATCTCTCATTCAACCTTTCCGGAAAGCTTCTTTTGGGCTCCATTTGGCATTCAATGACAGGCATTGTATGTACTCGACATATTGTAAGCGCTGTCATACGTCTGAAAACGCAACATTGAATTGTCTATCTTACACTCCGCTAATGATGATAGAATTTCGTTTGCCATTCCTTCTCCAGTTTTATCTAGCTGTCGCCTCTTTTACTTGAACAAGACGTTCTACAGCATGGCCATTTGTATCTAAATAACGAACAGCAACTGCCAACTGATCCTTATTTGAGACATCCGGTGTTGTGTCAGCCATGCCCAAACATGCCAGCAATGGACGACACTTCATTTACTATATCCTCACGGACAGCATCAGCTAACAACTGAATAAATTCAGTCTGAAATTGCCTCATATCTTTTCTTTCCAGCCAGTGCTTCAAAGATGGGTTATGCCTGCTTACAAGACGAGTAATTTGATGGAAATTTCCTTCCGTGTCATCGCCATCGCCTCGGAATGCCAAACCCTGCCGAGCCAATGTACGTGCAACACCAAGTAGAATAGTTATCACTTCAGTATTTTGTAGTCGGAGTTTCTCCAGGGCTATAATAAGCACGCACGCATTTCCTTGCTTTAGTTGCTTAGTTGCACATCCACATGTAAGTTGGTCCTCGTAAAACTTAATAGAAAGTCCATCAATGCTGCCTTGTGTGATTCGCTGGTAAAAAAAACACACGAAGCTTCCCTTCCTTGTTTCGTCCCAAACTTCCTTTGTTATTATTATTATTATTATTATTATTATTATAATGTAGCCAGGTTGCCTATAATACTTTAGTGAGAGCTGGTTACTAATATTTGTATGAAATGAAATAAAATGTGTTTACATTATTATTATTATTATTATTATTATTATCTTCATATTTATCCAGGATACCCACATCACCGAAGTGTTTTTCAGTGGGGTCCTGCAACTTTAAATTACAGTATATTTATTTAATTCAATATTTAGTCATGCACTATTTACAGCAACACATTTTTACAATATAATTATTTAAGAGTATTAATAAAGTCTGATTTCCGCTCCAATCGAAATGAAACACAGCGCACTTCTTTGTTTCGAGGGCATCAAATTCTATCTGAATGCTCACGAAACAAATACATACGTTACACTTGGCCGCGATATGTTTGAAGTGGAAAACGGATAAAGATTGAGAGAGAAAGATAAGTATAAGTGAAGAAGTCATATAGTGGAGGACGAAAGAGAATGAGAGGTTTATACCTCGTATACACGCCGTCTTTTTAATAGTATTTTAAAGTTATGTAATGAAGTAGCGTTTTTTAGTTCACGTTCTAGATTGTTAAAGTCTATAGATGCTTGATACGTTGGTCGTTGTTTTCCCTTGTGTGTCTTTGCTCGTGGTAGATGGAGATCTCTGCGGTGTCTTGTATAGTGTTCATGAATGTCTTCGTTTTTTGTTAAGTCGAAATCAAAGTGAATTAAGCCATTCATACATTTGTAGGTAAACATGCATCTGTGGTTGTGTTTTCTCGTTGTTAGGTTGTCCATTTAAGTTCTCGTAAAGCTTCGGTTGAAGATTATCGTGGGTGTTGGTTTAGAATGATCTTCGCTGCCTTGTTGTCAAGCACTTGCAGTGTGTCTCCATAGTCGAAAAGTGGTAGTACTAACGATGTGTACAGTACACAACGCGTCTCCAGATCTAGAAATTCCTTTACCCTACGCAATACTCCGAGTCTTTGGTTGATCTTAGCAATCATGTTGTCAATATGATTATGCTATGCTATGTTAGGTCACTGCTTTCATTTTGGACCAAGTACGGATTCCTTTAATCCAGGATTGATCAGCTTTGCTCCTACCTGGCCCATGAAGAAAAAGTGAGCGTATGAAACAAAATGCTGCGTCTCTTGATACGCTGTACTCCAAGTGGGAAAATTCATTGTACCAAGAAGAAGAGAATTTAATTTGCACTGCTTCGAATGGATTTCCAATTCTTTCGTTTTTGGAAAAACAGTTGTGGCTGACAGGGTCCAAGCGTTATTAAGTGCTTCTTCTGATTATCAGACAACTTAAGGGGCCTTTTTCCAGGATCATGGTCAACTACATCATTGTTTCCGTTCGAGACACACTCAAAGTGAGTTAATTGTTGGTGCTCTGTTAAGAGTTTCTGTGCTTCCTTGTATAAATCTGAAGCAAGATTTTTTGTGCGGTCAGAAAGATCCACAACTTGCACAAGAAATTATTGTGGGTTAAAGCCTCATTCTGTATCGTTGTAGAAGCTAATGTTTGCATTGCTATTGCAAGGTCTCCAAGCAGTGACGCTTTAGCAGCAGACGATGCCCAACTTGGTTTCTCACCTTCACAACTAAACGAATAAAGGAATACCGAATGGTTTTCCGTGCAGGATTGCGTGATCCATGCACACGAGATGTTGCGAGACTTTCGGAAAGCATTTTTTTTACGCTTTCCGAAAGTCGAGCAACATCCCAAGTGCATGGATCATGCTATTCTGCACAGGAAAACCATTTGGTAATTGTTTTATAAACTTACTACAGTGAAACGACGCTTAACGTGATTAAAATTACTGATGAAATGTGCAGTTCTCACAACATTCGTGAATTAACCAATCAGAGAATCGCTACTCCACGCTATTGAAAACAACAACATATGTGAACAGAATTTGATCGCAAATTCGCGAAAATATACAGCGAAAATACAGGGACTTTTTCGATAGAATATACGAAATTTGAAATGGAAAACCCGCTAAACAGAGAGCCAAAGTAGTTTTGAAGATTCTCGACCTGAATATGTGAAGATTGCGAAGCGTTTGATCAACTTTGAAGCGAGAGATGTTGTACTTGCATGCCATGGTCTGATGAATTTCAATGCTACG